TTTTTTTTTTTTTTTGTTTGGTGGTTTTTTTCCCCCCCACCATTTTTTTTTCCTGGACATAATCCTGTAGAGTGCTCTGCAGGGACCATTTTGGACGGATTTTGGGCTTCTGGCAACCGTGGAACTTCATAACCCCACACCGACGACCTATTCCATAATTTGTCAATTCCTCTTTCAAGCCTTTGTAATTGGATGTGCGCCTCAACCTACCTTTTTATACAGATCTACTGTGCACAATTTTTCCATGTACTCCTTTTTTTTTTCTTTTTCTTTTTTTGCTGGTTTTTGACTTTTTATTTATTGCATCCACAACCCCCGTCTTCCCTCCTGTTTGTTTTGTGCTTATTCCTATCTTTTTAGCTTCTTTATTTTTCTTGCCCTCCCTGGACCTGTTCCCTGTAATACATTATATTATCAATTTTTTTACATCAATATATATATATAAATATATATAAATATATATATATGAATAAATGGTTATTTAAACCAATACATAGAAAAAAACAAACAAAACACTGGTGCTTGATACACTGTGAATGGAGAACTTTGAACACAGGCCCCCGAAGACGAGACGTCTTACCTGTTATGGCGCCGGCGGCTTCTGTCTGCCGTTATGGCGCTGGTTGATGGAGATCAAACCTATGTGAACCTTCCCCCTCCAAAACAAAGTATTCCTTGACCCATCTGAAGATGTTATATCTGGGAACGGGTGCAAGTTGTTCCAGTAACAGTTTCCTGCTTTCAAGCTGCTTTTTTCACAAATCCTCCTTGTCTTTTTTTAAAATAATTGGATAATTCTCAAAAATGGTCTCTGCCGCTTGTACCCACCAATCGGACTAAGACTTGATTGGTGGCTGTGGACAATATAGTTTGTCATTTAGGGATAGGCTTACAAACGAAGGCCGCAGAAACAAAGGAGAGGATGGCAGCATAATAGAAATTGTTGCCAAAGGACGGCTCACACCTGTTTCAAGAAACAGTTTCATTGGGAGGCTAAATACATTTTAGTAAGAGGACCCATGTCGAGGATGTCGGTTTATGTCAAACATTTGTGGTCGGCTTTGGGAGTGTATAGTTGGCAGAAATTTATATTTTTATTCTCGTTTTACCTTGAAAAGGAATTGAGTTGTTGACCAATAAACCCAAGTTGGTGTTTTGGGTGGCATTGGCAAAGGTTAGAATTTTTGTCAGGAGTGCTGTCTTTGGTGGTCATTGGGGAATTGCATCTCACTTCCTGTCTTGGTTTCTTTGGAACAGGAAGTGAGAAATTCTTCATAACGGTGATACAGACGGCCATAAAAACCTGACAGACGTTCTGGCTCTTCTCCACTGTTTTCCAAACCCAATAAGTGCTGGCAGGAGTTAGACGTTCATTGCGGGCAAATAAAAAAAAATGCCAAATCTTTCATTTGTAAGGGCTATTGTAAAACCACTGCTCTTCGCCTAGAGTTTAGAGGCAAGCGTTTAATCCAGCGTGTTGGTTTTGTGCGATTTTACAATTTTGGCCAAATTGTAAAAAAAAACAAAAAAAACCTTTAAATTGTAATGATGGGTTATCCCCAAAAGAGCTTTTGTTGTACGGTTCCAGCGGTTGGGTAACATTTTGCCTAATTTCCAGACTGGTTTCTTATTATGTGGGATTTTAAAACTGCAAGCGTGCCGATTAAATCAGGCAGTCTGGTTTAAAGAGGACCTTTCACTTTTGAAGTAGAAATCAGTTAGCTCCAAGTAGGAAAATGCTTTGTATAGTTTGCCAAAACTGGATAATGTTACAGATCATCGTTTCACCGAAATAGTTGACCGGATTCTGAGAGTCTAGTGGATGGTGTCCAGTTCAGGACACAACTCATAACTTTACATTCATCTCTCCTTGTGCCAGTGCAGTCAGTAAGTTTAATTTAGGGTATGTTCACAGACTGATTACAGTGACACTAAACTCAGGAGTTCAATCTTAAAAATGCATTCAAGTACCTTAACTATAGGGATGCACTGATACCAGTTTTTCGGTATAGAGTACGAGTAATGATTTCTTTTTTTTTTCCGGGACTCTCCAGTGCAGTGATTCCGTGTGCCCCAATTATCAGGCATCGGATCACGACCTGTCGCCCGCCTTCCTGATTGCCTGGGAAGCCGGTGTTCGATTGAAAGAACACCAGCTTCACTTGCCGAGGCTCCTTGACCAATCAGGGAGGCGGGTCATTACGTGCTGCCTGGCTTCCTAATTGGTCATGGAAGCCAGGCTGCTTAAGAACATGTGAAGCTGACTTCCAAGCCAATCAGGAAGAAAGGAGACTGGTCGTAATGTGCCTCCCGGCTTCATGATTGGTTAGGCAGCCAGGCTGCCTAGCAACAAGTGAAGCTGGCTTTCCTAGCCAATCAGGAAGCCGGGAGACGTGTCAAAACTCACCACCGGGCTTCCTGATTGGAAAGGAAGCCGGCTCCTTGCTCCCTTGGGAATGCCAGTCAGTGGGAGATCTCTCTCGGAGCATTCGGGCGAGTAAACGTATGCCCAAATACTTGGTATCTGCACAGATACTAGTATCGGTATTGGTGCACCCCTACTTAACTAGTAACAAAAATGTATCTTATTTGTGTATCACTTGGTTGTAAATCCTCAGATCATCTCTGATTTGGTCCTGACACTGTCCTTCCTTCTGCAGGGTGGCTACTCTTGTTCCCCATGGTCCCTGTGTGTGTGTGTGTGTGTGTGTGTGTGTGTGTGTGTGTGTGTGTGTGTGTGTAAAGTAGTCATCGCTCCAAGCTCGCTCCTGTGATGGACTACAATCTCATGTTTAGTTTACTAATTTGTATTAAGATTGTAGTCCATCCCGGGAGCGAGCTTGGAGCGGTGACTACTTTACAACACACACAGGGACCATGGGGAACAAAAGTAGCCACCCTCCAGAAGGAAGGACAATGTCAGCACCAATTCAAAGATGATTTGAGGATCTACAGCCGAGTGATACACAAATAAGCTGCATAAAGATGATGGCCCCTAAAAGAACACTTTTGATAACAAGTCAGCAATGACAAAGTGAGCACCTTCCTGAGATCATAGTACTTTGGAAACCTGTGTATCTACAATGTATGCAATATCCCAAAACGTTTGTGGGCACCTGACCGTAGCACTTATATGAGCTTGATAGACATCCCATTTTACAGCCATGGGTACTAATATGGAGTTAGCTACCCCCCACCTCTTTGGCTACAGTAGCCTATACTCTACTGGGAAGGCTTCCACAGAAATTAGGGAATTTGTGCCAATTCTGCCAAAAGAACATTTGTAAGGTCAGGTACTGATCTTGGATGAGAAGACCTGGTTTGCAATTGACATTCCAATTCATCCTGAAGTTCTCCAGTAGGGTTGCGGGCAGGGCTTCATGCAGGGCACTTGAGTTCCTCCACGCCAAACTCCTCAAACCATGTCTTTATGGATCTGACTTTGTGCAGAGGGACACAGTCATGGTGGAACATGAAAAGGCCTTCACCAAACTGTTCCCACAATGTTGGAATCACACAATTGTCGAAAATGTCATTGTATGCATGGCCGTAGGGCCTTTGTCTTTTTTTTTATGCACCTGGTTTTGAAACTGGATGTCCAACAAGCTCATGTAAATGTGACGGTCTGATGTCCACAAACTTTTGACTAGTGTACATGCTGATCACACATAGCTGACCTGCCAAGTTGCAAAGCATAATAGGGATGACAAACTTTTAACCTTCACAGATAAGCCAACAAAGGCATCTTCTACCCTTGCTGGCTTGATATGCTGCTCATGTCATGGTGTTCCAAGGCAGTTACCTCATTAGGAGCAATGGTGACAAGGCCACTGTCTGAATTAGAACACCTGGGAGTGGGAGGCTTTGTTAGGAGGGACAATGGAGGTTAGAAGGAAGACTCTTGTAATACAGAGGGGTTCAGGTGGAACCCCTGAAGTGGACACCATATAGCAGAATCTCCAGTCAGAACAGGTTTGTTGTTTTTGGAAAAGTTACTTCTGAAATGAGCAAATTTGGGCAAATTTAGAACTTCACAACATTCTGGAAACTGTTCCATACTGAGCAATGAGTGCAATCATTCACAAGTGACAGTTCCTCTAATTCTATTTCCTGGGGACAGGATGAGGGGGAGTACAAGGTCCATCTATGAAAAGCAGTGCAGAAAGTGGATGTTTTGCCCAAAGCAACCATGTGGCAGCTGACATTCTTCCTGGTTGGAGTAGGTTCCATTCACACAGGAGTGGTTATCCTCACGAATACTCGCGGAACCACTCTAAACATAAAAAACGATGCACTTTAATGTGCAATGTTCATAGTTTTGCGGCGGCCGCGCAGTACGAAACCGCGCCTCCCGCAATATAGTACATATGCGATTTTATGGCGGATTCCGCAAGTTCGCTGCTATAGTAATAGCCGCAAACGAGCGGAATCCTTGCCGTTGTAAAGTTATTAACATTTGCGTGCTGTGCGGTCGTCCGCACGGGAAAACCACGCGGGAAACGCAAACTATGAATGGAGCCTGAAGGAAACCGAAAGCTGGCTGCTGTGGGTATTATCACAATTGTTTTTAATTTTTTTTGCTCCAGCGCTCACTCGTGTCCCCCTGTGTAGTAGAAGCCATAAAATGTGATCCTTTTCTATAAAATGTTCCTTTTATATCTTTCTCGATTTTGCAGAATTCTGTTATGCATTTATTGCAAATTGGTGACTGGTAGTAGTCACAAATACATTTTGGGATCTCTTGGGAACATGATTCAGAGAGGAAAGAAAGATAGTAACTGATGA